CTAGCTTTTGTGGTTCCCGAGTTGAAAGTTGCGGAAAAGTTGCTGCGGACACACACACACACACACGCACACACACACACACACACACACGCACACACACACACACACAGACAACCCGTAGCAGTATGCGTTTTGTACTGCTGTTACACAGCACAAAACGCATAATAATTGGCCAGCGCACTGGCGGCCCATGCGAAGATGCGTTTTTTGCTTAGCTCCCCGCAGATTTTTGTCGCTGACGGCACTAGTTTTTCCGGCAAATGCTTCTAGCTAAAAGAATTTCAGACTAACCGCCAGGACTGTCAGGAAATATCCCTTCAAAATTCCAGTCTTTTAGCTTCTCACGTTCCCGAGTTAGCAACTTACCCGATGGAAACATTCACGGGCCCGTACGTAGGTACCACGCTTACCCACGGGCAGGGTTTGAGCTCGTTAATACTCACTTGGACGGGAAACGTCCCTCTAAGATCTCAGCTTTCTAGCATCTCAGATCCCCGAGTTATGAACTTACGCGAAAAAAATTTTGGCGAGCTCGTACGCGCGTACCACGTTTACCCGAAGGCCGGTTTTGAGCTCATTAATGCCCACTTGGACGGGGAACATCCCCATAAGATCGTCAATTTGTGTTTTCTGCATTGCGTAGCTGCAAAAAACACATAAAAATGTCAAGTAAATGCAGATGTAGCAAAAATATACTGCTAGAGGTAAAGAAATTTGACTTGACCACCTTCAGGTCTCCGAATTTGTGTCATGAGAGGAATGGGATAGGTTTGATGCCAGGGCGAGTTGAATTTTCTTGAAAGCGATTATCTGTTTGTGCAAAAGCCAAACCTGTGTTGTTCCTTGTATGCAGAATTTCGCACTTTTTACCTCTCAAAATAAAATAATTGGTCAACGCATGGGCTAACCCTGCGAAAATGCGTTTTTTGCATAGTTCCCCGCAGTTTTTGTTGCTACCGGCACCGGCTTTTTCGGCAGATGCTTCTAGCTAAACAAATTAAGACTGGGCGACAGAACTTTCGGAAAACACCTCCTTAAAATTTCAGCTTTCTAGCTTCTCTGGCTCTTGACTTAGCAACTTACTGGAAATAAATTTCCACGGGCCCGTGCGTGTTTACTACGCATACCCGAGAGTTGGGTTTGAGCTGAATGAAACTTAAGTGGGCGGAGTATATCCTCTTAAAATTACAGTCCTCTGGCTTCTCAGACCCCCGAATTATGAACTTACCCTAAAAAATTTTGGCGGGCTTGTACGCGGGTACCACGTTTACCCGCGGTCTTGGTTTGAGCTCACTAATACCCACTTGAAGGGGAACATCCCTGTAAGATTTCAGCTTTCTAGCTTCTCAGATCCCCGAGTTATGCACTTGCCCGAAAAAAATTTTGGCGGGCTCGTTCGCGGGTACCACGCGGGTAATGGCGCCCATTTTTGGGAGTTGCGCCCGTATGTGCATGTAGATTAAGTTCCTAAAGTTTCAGTCCTGTAGATTTTGTAGGTCTTGAGATGAAAAACCGTGACAGACGCACACACGGACACACTAACACACAGACAACCCCTTGTCAATATGCATTTTCTGCATTGCATAGCTGCAAAAAACGCATAATTAATAATTGGCTAGCGCATCAACTGCCAGTGCGAAGACGCTCTTTTTGTACTGTTTCCTCGCAGGTATTTGTTGCTAACGGCATTATTTTTTCCTGTAGATGCTTCCAATTAAACGAAGTGAGACTGGCCATCACGGCTGTCAGAAAACATCCCTTAAAATTCCAGCCTTCTAGCTTTTCTGGTTCCCGAGTTAGCAACTTATCCGCCAAAGATTTTCACGTATCCGCACGTGAGTATCATGTGGGCATGACCGTCCATTTTGGGCATATTGGCCTGT